TCTAGACCCAATGGTAAAAGAAATTATCACTTTAATGGATAATTTTCATAAAAAAAGAAACCAAATGGATACCAAACTTTCAACATTTTTCATGAAAAATTATACCAATCAAACACAATTAATTACAATTCCGAGTAAAACAATTTATAAGCAAATCAATTCCCTGTAAAACATTTTCTTTCCACCTATTTTCTACATTCGCAATCAAACGGACCCTTGGTTTATGGGATGGAAAATATTGTTCGAATTTCCTATTATTTCTCAGGTACTTATGCGTGGATAGTATGATTTTGTTGATGTACCTTTTCTTAATGAAACCGCATGTAGCATGTGTCCATAGGAATAATTTCTTTCTTTCTAAGCTCTTGAGCTCGAGCGTCTTTAGTTTTTTGGTTCGTGATGAAGATTTCGTGGAATGTAATTGTGTATCTGATCTAAAATTTGAGATCTAGTTCTTTGTACGAATTCGATCTGGGTCTTTGGAGTGGAATGGTGGTGGTTTTGGGAAAAGAAATGAAGGTTGAGATTCGAAAATGTAACTCAATTATTGGTGGTGGGAGGTGATGGTGATAGGAGTATCAATGACAATGATGGTATGAATTGAGAATAGCATGTTAGGATTTGAAATGCGAATAACACAGTAATGTTACCCCCACAAATAAATCAATAATATATGTTATTCGACAAATTAAAAAATAAGTAATACACTAACTATGTAACACATGTAATATTACAATAAAAAAGTAACACACGAATATGCATGTTATTCTACAAATATTAAAAATTGAAATATGTAATAAATATCATACGTGCTTTTCATCTAAATATTTCGTATAAAGTGATGCCAAACAAGCACTAAATGAAGAATAACATAGTATTTTTCAAAAAAATTAAATAGTTATAAGTAAAATAAAGAGAAAAATATGATAGCTGTCAAACTTGCCCAAATCTAGACCTGTGGCTGTGTGGCAGGTTACTCCATGAAAATCAGATTAGCCATTGTTTATCCACATTATTTACAAAATATATTTTTCTCTCTTCTTTTTAATAACACGTTCTTCAATAAAATAATATTATATTTAAATCCAAAATTTTCTTTATTTTTTAACCACACATTCTCTATCAATTTACTATTTCAAAATGCATTTACGAAAAATAAAAATAAATAAATAATAATAATAATAAGAGGAAATTACAAAAAATCAGGTGTTTAAAGAATGATTTTCAAAAATCAGGTTTAAAGTTTAATTATTTAAAAATCAGGTAATAATTTTATATTTTAATTAATATTAAACATAATATTGTTAACCTTAATTTCATCAATTCCTCCATCCATCCATTCTTCCCTTTCTCCCTCTCGTCTTTCTCCATGTGCGCGACGCTCTGAACACGACAGCGAATCCTTCGAAAAAAATCAGCCTGAAATAAATGTGATCTCGTTTTCGTTGGTGAAGAAATCATTTTGCCCCAAATTGAAATCAAGAAAACCATTGTTAAACTGAGTGGCACAGCAGCAAATCCTTCGAAAAAATAGCCTGAAATAAATCTAATCTCGTTTTGTTGGTGAAGAAATCATTTTACCCCAAATGGAAATCAAGAAAACCACCGTTAAACTGAGTGCCGCTTTGTTAAGTCCGCAACAACCCTTCAGACGGGCAAGGATAATTGCAAAACACATTGAGTTTGGGTATGGACATTCAATAATGCATCGGCTTATGCCGTGGGTGTGTGTGCAGTGGTGGATTGGAGTCGCGATGATGGTGTTGTGTCGGGGTGTGGTGGTGGTGTTGATGCTGGTTGTAGTGGATTCAGATCTGGTAGTTGTTGGTGGTGGTGGTGTTGATGATAGTGTGTGGTTGAATGCGGTGATGGTGCTGTGATCAAGAATTGGTGGTGGATAGGGGATCGGGGGTTGGTTTTTTGGTGTATGTGACCAACTATTTGGTTATTTGTGATTAACCGTTAAACCACGACCTTAAAATTTAATAATTTGTGACCAAAAATTTGAAAATATGTGACCGATAAATAAACTGTGACCTATAAATTTTTCGATATGTGACCAACAAAATAAATTGTGACCTATAAAATTTTTGATTTGTGATTTCGAAATAATCTGTGACCAATTAATTTGATAATATTTGACCAATAAAAGTTGTGACCTATAATTATGTATATGTGACCATTAATTATATATTATTATATTTAATTCATAAAAATATATTTAATTTATAAATAAATACCTGATTTTTGCATTTTTTAAAATTAAAACCTGATTTTTACATTTGTGAAACTTAAAAACTGATTTATGATTTTTTTTTTCCCTAATAATAATGGTGATCAAAGCTCTTGGTACGTCGAATGGGCTGATCCAATTATGTAGACTTGGAGTTGATCCACTTGGATCCAGGTCCAACGGAATTATACGCGTCTATTCTAGCTGGGTTCTGCCTAAAACCTGCCGAATACAGTGTGTTATCATTCTTGTTCCTTAAATGCTTCTTTCGCTGTTCTTCAACTCAAACTCACAAGCTTCACGGAATACAGTAATGGAGGTTGTTTCCTCGTTTTCTGGAAACGGGTTTCGACCCATTTTCTGTCTCGCCTCAACTCGTACCATCAAGAACTATCTTCCCGCCACCACCACCCCAGTTGCCACTGCTGCTATGCTAATCCTACGAGTACTAGTAGGCCCATATATGATGCTGAACAATCTTCGAATAGCGTTTCAGTTTCGTCCAAGATAAGACAATCTGCATTTCTCGACATTCACCAGTCCACTGACTTGGCCTCCTTTCTTTTGAGGTTCTCTCTTTCTTTTATTTATATGCACTCACTTGAACTTAGACATAGCTACTTATGAATATTTTTATATATCATGTGCTTGAATACTCGTCTTTTGCTTGACTGCAAATTTCCACCATGCCGTGCCGAGTTCTCAGTCCTCTATTTATTTGGAAACTAAACTAGAACTTGTAGAATTCAGTTGATTGACATGTTATAAACTTGGAAAATTCAGTTCTTGAAATGTCTATTATATAGTACTAATAAAATAATGCTATCTATCATTCATAGACATCATTACTCGTTAGGTGGCAATAGGTCCCCGATTCATCACAACTCCATTGGACAATGAATCGGGGACCTATTGCCACCTAACTGGTGATGCATTCCTACTAATATCTAGTGTAAAGTGTATATGCTTCTTGGGTTCCACATCTTTCAAATTGGAACCATATCAATCTGTAAGGCCTACCACACCACACTACAATTAGTTCCTAAGTTTATACTAATTACAACTATTTTCCACCTACGTAGATAACTATATTTGGCATGAATTTAAAATTCGCTAGCGCGTAAAGGAAATTTATCACCATCGTGTCATTTTGAGTTCAAACAGATTTTCATTGGTGCAACCACTGATAGTATGTGAAAATGCGGATCATGGAAAAACAAAAGCTAACCGGTGGTCTTGGAATTTTTCTTCATTTAATTGAGGCAAATTTATATTATAAACTAGCGACAGCAGTTGACAATGAGACTATTTGTTGCTACTGGTCATTTTCAGATGAGAATTCTTGTTCAAGCTTCATTTTGAAATTAGTAGGAGAAGCTTTCCACTAGTTTCTCTTAAAGCCACTGTGATTTTTCTTCTTTTTATTACTTTCTTCTCTCTCTATAGGGTTCATCTGGTTTGAAAACAACTTTTGGTTGAATTAGATTGATTCCTTTTAACGACAACATCGAGTCAACTGTAGTATTTGTTTCTGGAAAAAGGATGTTATTCACAATGGGGAATTGTTCAAAGATAACAGAATAGATTCTGGTTATTAGGATGGTTTTCAACATGTTTAATTTAGTTTTACGTGCAATGTGGCCCATTGACACCAGTTTTCTTTATGCAGGACCTCTCTTCTTCTTTAATGTACCTCCTTGGTTAAACTAGTGCCTATTCAGAAGCATTTTTCATGTACAATATGTTGAGATATAGCAAGAAAACCACATGCAAGGTCCTTCATGAATTTTTTTTTTTCATATTTTTAATTGCAGGTGGATTTCTCAAAGATGCATATGTTGTGATCAAGGTATGTAATTAACCTGTAACCATAATCTTCAATAAGGTTATGTCTATTGTGGATGATTGATTTTTAAGTGCCATGCATTCTTCATGACAATGCAAAGTTGATCTCTAGAGCTGCTATGAGGAAGTTTTCTACCTCCTCTATGAAAAGAGGCAATATGAATTGATAAACGATGTGCTGAAGTCTATTCACGGCTCTAATTACAAGATTGATCAGGTGATGATTTGATTCTTTTGTTACGTGATTGATGAAGTCTATTTCTTACATATATAGATGTGAAACACATGTTTCTGGGTTCATTAGGTTGTCTCTGTCTCCCAACCTATTTGGCTGGATTGAGTTTTTTTTACCTTTGTGAGCTAGGAGAACATCCAAGTCTATGTTCGGACTTGATTACGTTCCATGAGAACCTTTTTAGGGGCTCATATTTGATGGTTGTACATAATTCACTTTGACGTTGTTGATTCTCTCTGTAACCTCTGTTATTAGTGTGCCTTGCCTGTCTTTGTAGATTCAAGAACGAACCTTTGTCTTGATTTTTTCACGAAATATTTCATAGGGCCATATCTCTTTATATCTCGGAACCCGTTAAGAAGGCATGGCTTCTTCACTTGCTACAATGGATGCCTGGTCAAGGCTATGCTGTTGATTCATCTACAAGGAGTTCGATTCTCAAAAGTTTCCAAAATGCAGGTATACGTAAGACTTGCTACTACTCGGCACATTTATACTGAAAAATGTCGTAAACTTATAATTGATAAATGTTAGCATGTTTTCTATCAATAAATGACTTTTGCCCTGAAGATGACTTGACTTGCATCCTATATTTATTTAATTTTTTTTTATCTGTGCAATTGTGAATAATTGCTCGTTTAAGATGTCTCGCGTGGAGAAAGAAATTCATTAAGAGAATTATGAGTGTCAATGATCAGCAACATCTGGGATGTCCACGGGATAGTTATGTATTCTATCTGACCATGCATTTCTTATCTTGGGATTTAAATCTGAAATGCATTCCCAAATTGCACTGTTACATTTAAATCCACTCCCAAAAGCAATTTGCCAGACCCTATTTCCCCTTTTGACCCTGCCTTTTGCCTCCAGGTAGCTTAGCTCGTACCAAACAGAGGATGATGAAGTGTTACCAAAGCGATAAAGTGTCATCCTCGAGGCTTCTCCATCTTCTTTAGTCAGCCTTAGCTTTTCCTCAATAGCGTCGATGACTGCCCTTCCTCCAGCATGTATACAGAAATGGTCAAATGCCTTCTTGAAGTTAGGTACATATATCTCCTCTTTCCTTGCTGAAGTTGAAAATTTCCTACGAATTACTGAGAATCCATAGTGGATCTGTTCAGAGTATGGTAAAACGCATGGACCCAACTCTGTTATATTTATTTTCAAAGCATTTCCTGCCACATGTAGAAGTTCTCTTGATAGTGAAACTCCCACGTACCCGGATTCATCATTTTCCTGGAAAACAGACTGGTAAGATAGATCATCTGATCCCATGTGTGTTCTTAACAGATGTCGAAGTTTGTATTTCGCTCTTCTTTTGTCGCGTTTCTTATTGGACAACAAGATAGCGACTCCTCCCATTCGGAATAGCATGTTGGCTAGAAGCATGGACTTCATTTTACCATTATAACCATTTGGAGTCACTGCTTCCATGCTAAGAACCAAAGCCAACGAGTTCCGGTGGACTTTCAGGAGGTCTTTAGCTAAACTAATAGCCACGAGTCCTGCACTGCACCCCATTCCGCTGAGACTAATGCTCTTTACATTACTCCTAAATCCAAATTTGTTTATGATCCTGGCTGTAATGGATGGTGTAGGGCAGAAAATACTACAATTGGATACAAGTATGTCGATGTTTTTGGGATTTATGTTGTGTTTGCTGAAGAGATCCTTCACCACCGTGAAAAGAACGGTTTCAGTTTCTTCTTGACTTGGGTTGAGAGAATTATCCGGTGGAATTTGATGCAGAGAAAGTGGAAAGCCGGCCTCACATCCAATGCCCATTCTTTCTACCACTTTGTTCGAGAAATCTATCGCATCTCTCTCATGAAGGCCACAGATTTCGAAGTGTTCGATGAAATTGGAAGTTGAGACTCGCAAGTCGTCTGGTGGTTGATAACAAGAGAAATCTATAAGATAAATGCAGGTGGATCTACGAGAAAAGAAGTAAACAATCAAGAGCAAAGCAGTTGCTGCCAAGAGATGAAAATAAGCAAAAAAGAATGAAGAGTCGGAGTCTTGTAACGGGGCCTCCATTTCTGAACTCAAGAAGCTTTGATTCGAGTTAGTTCAAGAACCAGGTTGATTTACATTATATTTTCTTCTTTTATTTGGTAGATGCTCCAATTACGAGAAATTGAAACCTCAGNCTTTTATTTGGTAGATGCTCCAATTTTACGAGAAATTGAAACCTCAGTTTTTGCTCACGAATATTGCATGTTCCAACTTCATTCGCATGCTTCTTGTGTCTATAATGCTTGTTTTTGCGTTTAGTAAACATACACTTCTCACTTGGTAGGCTTATAAGCATTTTGAGTAACTTTCCACGATTTTAAAGATGAGTTTTACGTAATATGCCTTTACTTTGTAGCACAGACACTTCAATTAGGGTACCGTGTCTGTGCCCGACAAATACGTAATCATTTTTCTTTTTATATTAGAAATATTAGAAATTGTTAATTCAAAATTATTAGCGAGTAACAAATACGTACTCATATTTAAAAGATTTCAACAAGAAAAATTAATAACAAGTATAAAACTAAATTTATACTATATAGATGAAGAATTTTTAAGAATTTAATCAACGTATTGATGACGTGTTGTGTCTGTAATTTTTTTAAAAATCGTGTGTTGACGTATTCGACACGTATCGTGTCGGTACATCATAATGCTTGTATAATGGTATCGGAGCAAGCACCTTTCTGGGGATGGTGCTCGGTGCGGATAGAGCGATATCAATTTTGAGGGAAATGCCCTAATGATCAAGTGCTTAGGTTCTTCACATTGAATTGTAATTTACTATTGAAATAGAAATAATTCATGTAATCTTTATTACTTGATTATCTGTCGAATATTATCTAATTATTTTAGTGCTTAAATTATTTATTATGTTGAAATACATGAATATATATTTTCTTTCACTATGCAACAATTAGGAGATTGGATGATTTTTCGTATCGTAATAATAAAATAAGAGCATGTTTGGTACATATTCTCATTTTCTACAGTAAATCAATTCTCATTTTCAACCACACATTCTTCAATAAAATAATATTTTCCATCACATCAATACTTTTTTCTTCTTTTTCAACCACACATTTCCCATCATATCACTATTCAAAAATCA